CCAGCAGGATCCACACCCCTAAAGCCAATGTACACAATATCAGAGGCTGAAAGGCAGGGCTTTAGCCAGGAAAAGCCAGGAAGTTGTGGTACCTGCAAGCAAAGGTTTGCTATTAGGTTACTTTAATGGCATATGTAACAAAACTGTATTTAGTGCTTCCCTCAAAACTTTGTATTTATTTACGGCATCCTTTCTCTGGCTAAACAGAGAAACTTCATTACGCGAGAGTCCGGCACTCTGATTTAATCAGTCCTTGCCTTTGTTGTACCATTTTATCTGAGTTGAATGTTACTGGATGAAATTTTTAAATCTTTTAGATTTTCCAGTTTGAAGAGGAGGAATAAAAAGTCCAAATCCACAAGCAGTAGGCAATTAGAATCAATGAATGTAAGGGGGAATGATAAGAAACTACATACCCAGCTGCAGATCACTTAGTGCATTTAATGGTAATGCTATGTAACTTACCCAGTACATCATACTTAAGTGGAAGAATAAGAACGAAGGCACCTGCACCTTTTTAGGAGAATCACCAAAAAAGTCATGCAAACTTTGTTGCAAAACCAGTGTTAAAGATTGACAAATTCAAAGTGGGAAGTAAAGCCCTGAAGAGAGGAGGTCTAGGACAGCAAATGAAAGATGATGAAGTCATCATTTTTCAGTTTTGGTAATTAAGTAGTCATGGTATATAATTATAAAAGTCCTTCAGCTAGTAGTATCTACTAATTTTAGGCATGCTTTAAATTAACTCAAATTTCTCTTCTTCCTCTCTCCCAGCTCTGAAAATGGCTACAGCCAACACAGCTGTCAAGCAGCAAGAAGGCTTTGTTTCCCTCTTATCCTTCTCAATTACTAATTATATTCTAGTTACAACATTTGGATTTGTTTTTAAAGGCTAACACACCCATAACTATATTTAATTACGTTGGGATTAAATAAGCACATACAATAAAAGTATTTGCTGTTCTGGGGCAGTGACTTGAAATTTTTCTGCAGTCATTAATTCAGAAGAGGGATAAATGAATTGGAGACCACGAGGAAAAATAATTCAGGTCTCAGAAACGAAGCTGTGTATGCAAAACCCATCACCATACCATAAGCTGAGCACAGTATTGACAAAATTGTCAGATACTTTCTAGTATCAATGATATAGTAGCTTTAATACTGCCATTTTTAATTACTCTTCTTTAAATAAAGAAGATGGAATGCTTTAACTTCTTTTTGTAGGCTCTGGTTTTAATTTGTTGCAATAGAAAAGGAGTTGCTGATAGTAAAGCCAAACGGGTGCAGGCATTTTCATGGTCGGTTACTAACAGCAGTTTGTGAGTGTAGGTTGAATGGTTCCAGGAGCCCTGACACTAATGCTCAGTTTGAGGAATGCCAGCCAAAGGACTGCGTTCACAGATATTTTCTCTTAAAATGGCAAAATTAATTTAAAAAGTTTTCTTAAAACCCTGAAGTGCCACCGTGCCTTGAGGAGTACCAGGCAGTGCTCCTGTGAAGCTACCTGGGCAAACAAGTGGCAGCTGGTGAATGGACTGTGCAAGCAACACCAGGGTGTGTTCCACAGCGACCTGTCCAAATGCTTTATTTTATTTCATAGCCAGATGCATCACTTCTTCATGTTGTCTGCTACATGGGGACATTTAATTCAGTAGAGCATTGACCCAGCTCACTAGCCCTGGATACATCAGGGATTCTGAAAACAGGTGAGATAACAGCTAAACTGAGGGACTTGAAACAGCCCTGGGGAGTTCTTGGCCCCTGTGCTAATTCAAGCAGTTGCTGCCACATCAGTCCCCCCCCCGTTACGTTGTGCCAGGAAGCTGTCTGTAGGGTCAGACAGCGAAGGAGGGATAGTACTTGATGTGTCTCAAAAACTAAGCAAAGAGGCCGTACTCCTGCCTCAGTTCTCCTGCAGTCC